AGGGGCAAATGTCTGCCAGGAATATACGTGCAGCATCATGAGCACAGGGCACTCTCTGTGGGTGTTGAGATTTTGGGGGAATGAAGGGGAAATGCTGCCACATGCTCCTCTCTAACCATGCAGCTCTTTGGTACTTGTCTCCCCATACCAGTGACCTTGGACCAACAGGGACAACTGGTGCCACCCCCACCCACATTCATCCCTCCATCGTCCTGCAGAGCCTCTCACGAGGTGAGCAGAAGAGCCACTTCCCAAGGTGAGCTCCTCTCCCTACTACCACCCACCAACATCCAATGGCACCTGCACGCTGGCTTCCAGCCATGTCCCGTGTCCTGGACCCCCAGGCACCCCCCACCTCACCTACCCATGCAGGGAGCTGGTTAGATAGGGCAGATGCAGTGTCTCCAGCTCCAGCTGCCGAGACTCCTCTGTGTCCTGGTACTTTAGCATCCCTTCTGGAGTGACCACTTCCTTCAAGATCAGGGGCTCCCGGTGGTAGGCTACTTGGAGACGGAAAACATAGCCGTCCTGAGATGGGAGCAGAAGATGAAGTCAGGCTTGGTAGTAACATAAGCAGGCTGGAGTGCTACGCTGCACCTCAGGGACACAGCAGCATCCTGGCATCAGCACAGTCTCACTATGCTCTTTCCTAGGCCCACCACCCAGATCCTGATTTTGTCCAGTGGGACCACTGCCACAGCCCCCCACCTGCCTCCTTCGTAACAAGTCAGGTCTGGAGAAGGTCCCCGTCACCCCCCTACCTTGTACACATCAGTGTGGGTGACCGCAGGCCTGCAAACCAGCTGGTGCTGCTGCTGGAGGAGCTCAGCCAGCTGGAGGTGGAAAGCCGCCTTGATGCGCTTGATGGCTTCTTTGTCCTGCGGCCACTGGCCACTGCCTTCCATGTGGCAGATGACTGGTGGCAAAGGGACAGCAGAAGGCCAGTGAGTCCCATGCAGAAATGAGGTTTTGGATGGGGGTGGCTGGGACTAGAGGTTACAGCAGGAGAGCAGGAGGAGCCGGGGCTCTGCTCCTGCCTGCAGCGCACCAACACAGCAGTAACAGAACCAGAACCACCATGTGCCTCCACTTCCCCCCACCAAATTATCTCCCGCTCACATCTCTCCCCACTTACTCTTCAAAGGGGCTATGTAGGCCGGGCAGGGCTTCTCCTCCGAGGGAAGCAGCAGGTGCTTGGTCCTGATTCGGGTATGGAAGGAATAAATTGGCTTCATGGGAATGGGAGGGAAGACCTGGGAAAGAACAGCCACCCGGGGACTGAGAACAGGGAGCAGAAACCCCGGGGCACCACACACCCCCTTCACCCCAAACCTCCCGCTCCAGCAAAGCCCCCCGGCATGGAGGCTTTGGCCAACTTGTGCACAGCCAGCTCCAGGGACGGGACAGCAAAGAAGAGACACTGCATCACCCCGAGGGCTCTCGGGAGCCACAAAAGCAGCAAGTGACTAATTCTCTCTGTCCCCCCTCAGCCCAGGGCCTCCCCCCAGCCCCTCGCAGA